CTAAATAAATTTGAAGATCATCCAGGCTGACTCCGCTTCTTGAATATGGACTCCTTCAGGAAAAAGATATTTGGTCAGAATGGGAAGGTTTGCACAATGTCTTCCTCTATCAACTTCAAAATACCCTTTAGCTAGACAAGTATCGCAGGATACAATTCGAAACACCCAGACATCCCGTGACCTTCTTCTTTCTAAAAAAAAAAAAACAAAAAAAACAAATAGGTGAATGAATAATTTAATGGATATATATACTTATTAACATGATACTTCGCTTTACAAGCAAGCCCATGAAGTACCTAACTTAATAAAATTAATTTTACACGGCCCCAAGCGATGGTGAATGTGAACTTTTTTCGGTAACGCGAGATCCAAACTTTACGCAAGCTCAGATATCGATATTAGCGAAGTTCTATTCTAGGACGTACTGTTTTGGGAGTAGGAAAAAAGGTTTTCTTGAAGATCCAGGCCTCTTTAAACAGATTCAACACAGAAAATTTAAACAGTAGGGAGGGCGAACCTGGAGAAGTTTTCGAGTTAACTTTACATATTGTAAAAAATATACCTTAAAGCGATAAAATGAGGAATCTAACACTACTACAGATTAGCCCTCGTCTTGTTCTAGGTTCCTTTCAAGCTTTTTAAAAATCCATAAAAACCTTAATTTTTTATCGATTTTTCGTGGTTAAAAAAGTGGGGAGGCGCACTAAATTTGCATTTTTTCATAACTTTTGCACAACTTCAAAGGGGAATTGCTCTGGTTGGTTCTGTTGTTAGCTTGCGATTTTCACGTAGAAGAGAAACATCCCTTGTGAAAAAGTGATTGGAGTAAATCTTAATTGTTATTATTGAGGTTAGGGTTAACCTACCCTCGGCAAAATTCCAGTTTTTTTCCCAACCCACCCCAAGTAAGCAAGACAGTCACCACAAAAAATTTTTTTAAAAGGTTAGATAGCTTTTATTATTGTTGATTTACAGTTTAATTCCCATGGCAAAATATTGAAACGCGAATTGTTAATAAATTTCTTAAAAGTTTATTGAATTAATTAGTTTTTTGAACTAATAATTGGTTATCTTCTTTACGCATTTTTTGCACTTCCCTCGATTAGTAATCTACCTCGACAAAGCTCGTTTATCGAGCTCGGTTACAGTACTGACGAGAAAGACTTGTGGAGAGTCTAACCTTATGGAGTGCGATGGAGTGTCCAAAAAACCTCGATACTAACGGTGAATACTTCATAAGTTTTTTTTAGGAGATTCAGAGACAGGATTCATATAGAGGGTATGAAGTAAGACGGGAGAATATTGAAAATAAATTTTCTCATGCTGCCGTTTTTGTTTAAGCGATTCTCTTCCCCTAAGATCAGGACGCTCTTTTTTTCGCTCGCGTGGGTTCCGGTTTCACTACGACAACTTTCATTTAGATATTGAAACTTGAACTTTTACTGTAACTTTTTAGAAGGTAATTAAAACTGGATATCGTCGCACCTTTTTTCTGACTTACAACAGCGTCATCTATCGATACAACAACATTCGTATCGCACTCTAGTTTTAAAATGTTACTAGTTTTGCTCCTTAAGGAAGGATTACGACTGAATCACCAATCTTTTGAACTTTTCAATCAAGTTTTATTTTTGAACACTCTGATTGTTGTATGTTAAATACTTCCCAACATCAGGGCCCCGACCACACTTTCGCAGGCGCTTCGAAAAACGTTATTTTGCTCCCACAATCCAAAAAAAGCTTTGCCTCTATCTATGAAAATGAATAAACTGGTTTTTTTTTTGACAACATCATAATGGTCACCTACGGCAAAAAAACGCAATGTTACAAGAAAAATCAACATCGGGGAATTCGAAAAGGTCGGTTTTCAAAATGAATTAAAATTCAAGTTGAAATCGCATATTTTAAAAATGCGTCTTTTCGTTAAAAAATCTTTCCGGACCAGTGTGATCAGTAGACCTAACTACGTAAAACCTATTGAAGATAGTCATGGACAAAGCTTAATTGTTTCTTCACCTGTCTCTACCAAAACTGAAAGTAAAAACCGTAGCATATTTACAAAACCGGATGATCAATTAGATATTGATTGGCTAGAACGGCCAAAAATTCTGCATTGATCGCTGAGGGGTTCCCGCTCTCCACTGACGCCACATTTGCTCGTCGAAGTAAGACTGCAGGTCTTCCCTCCTTATCCCCCGGCGTGTTTTCTGGCCCAGTTTTAAACTGTTCCAGCGGGATTGGATTTCTTGGGTGTCAACCCCATAGTGACTGGGCCAACGTAGTTGAGTCGGTGGACAATCATTTGATGTGCACTTCTGTTGTTAATTCTTTGGTCCGTCTGCCGGTGGGAGGCCAAGTCATCCGAGTGCACTTCTGTTAGGGAGAACACACCTTGAAATGATGTGATGGAGGGTGGCCATATCTCGTCTTTCCACTACCTCGAAGTAGCCTTATGCAGGTGAATATTGTGTCGTAGCAATCCCAAAAACCCATGTGTCCCTTTGTGCACGTCTTCCTCTGTTGTACTGAAATAATGAAAAAATATATACATTTCAGATGGATGATTTTTGTCCCATTAATATCTTTCTTTAGGCTTTATCCCAGCTATGTGTAATTATCATTCACCTGTATGAAATAATTTTGATATTAAAGCGCCCTGAGTGCTCTTTGTTGTCACATTCCCACCTACTTCGGCTTGCGAACCACATGTTCCAGAATATCAAGAAACAATAAGACTATGAAAATATTTATATTTAAAAAATATTGACATAATTGGAGGTGAACATTTGCCTAGCATATACTATGTCAGTAAGATAATATGGAACAAAAAGGTGATTTTTTCAAACTCATTTATTCCTGTAACGGTTGCTATAATTTTTGTGTGCCAATACTGGGCAAGTTGCTCGGAGGTGAATAGCAAAGAATGTTCGGAGTTTGAGTGCAGGCCGATCAGAGCGCTCCTACGACACTATCTACTGTGTTAGTATATAATTGAAAAATAATTGTGGGAAATTGTAGCAAATGCTGTTGGAAAGCGCTCAATACACATGAGTGTAGAGCGAAATACAGTTCAAAATGACTAAAATGAAACACGCATGATTCCCTGTAACCCTGAGTTTCGTGCTTAAGCACTCGTCAGACAGATTTAATCTGATTTAATCTGTCTGACGAGTGCGTAAGCACGAAACTCAGAGTTACAGGGAATCATGCGTGTTTCATTTTAGTCATTTTGAACTGTACTTGAAAAAATAGAGATTTTACCTTTGATTAGTGGTTGAACTAGCTCTCACCGCATTTTACCACAGTCCCAGGTCCACCAAAGGGCGTGATTGGCCTGTCCTGAGTCTCTCGGGCAGCCATCCTGTAAGTGCCTACTAATCTTGCTTATCAAGCTTGCATTTAAATCCAGGAGCCTGGAAATTCGTCGCTGGGAGTCCTTAGCAGAGAAGAAATGAACCTTCTGCAGGAGTTTACCAAGAGGCACTCTGGGGAACTCCTCGAAAAAACTGTTTGATCTCACATTTCTTCTTTTTCTGCATCCTCTGCAGCGCCTGTACAGTATTGAAAAGGAAAGACCCTTTATCGTTTTTGAACAAATTAAAATGCCAGTTTAAACTTTGTGCATAAGCATTCTTCTCCATTGAATATATAGACGCGTATCAGATGCGACTTTCATAGTGGATTCTCTTGCTCCTCTTGAATTAACATAAAAGAGGTCTTCTATATCGAATGCGAAAAGTGCGTTCTAAAACAACACCTTAAGTACGTCGATAATTATTATAGTAATCCACAGTACTTTTAGTGTTGTTTTGAGGTTTTTTTAGTCAGTTTATCACGTAGCAGTCAGTGAAAATCCAAATTGTGCTATGAACATTTCCAACTTCTATGACAGTTTTACGTAGCAGCATGCAGACGCAAGTAAAAGTTGTTACTAAATAAGATGAGAAAGAGATAGATTAAAGGACGTTTGTGCCAATGCACGCGCGCGATGGAAGGATTCGCTCTGACGAAGGGCTAACGCTCGAAACGTCAGCTTTTGAACTCTTTACGGTGGCCAATTTACAATTTCAACTTGGTCAATATTACCAGAAAACAGAACAGTTTATAATTACATTTATTACAACGATTACTAAAAATTTAAGTTTCGTTCATAAAAAACATTGGTTTGTTATGTACTCCCATTTAGGATACAAGATATACTTGTATCTGGTGTAAATAATATCTGCGTGTGCATGTCCTATAACTCCTTGTTCCCGCGTTTTTAGACCTTACATTCACAGTATGAAGTCGCAAATTTACGCATCTTTAACTCTTGCGTAAAGAAACGTAAATATAAAGCCTCTTCTTTACGCACAAGTTCCGCGTTCCGTAAAGATGCGTAAATGCAGAAAACGCGTAAAGACTGCGTAAAGGATATTAAATGTTCGTAAAGGATAAGGATCAAGATGGATACAATTAACCACTCTCTATTTGGAGAAATACTCAAAGAAATGAAAAAATTATAGCTCTTCCATCTTCCGTAGAATTACCGTGGTATTTTGACCAGTTTCGCTCATAACACTTTATGCGTCTTTAAAATTCTTTACGCATCTTTACTCACTGTTCTTTACGAACCTTTAACATTCTCTACGCACAATCAATCTTTATGTGCCGTTAATTCTCTTTACAAATCTTTAGTGTTCTTCAACGACCCTTAACTTTCCATTTGCACAACCAGTCTGTGCGTGCTTTTAATTCTCTTTCCGCATCTGTATTCTGTCTTTTACACCGGTTCTAAACTTTCTGTTCGCATAAATATGTTTACACTACCTTTTTTTTAAACACTCCTTACATGCCTCCAAAAAGGATTGTGATCATATTATGAAGTTGGCTGTCGTGCAATATGCTTGTATTAATTTGTTATGTAGAACAATAAACGAAAATAAAATAACATTCAACTGAAACCATTGCTGTTTACAGTTGTGAAGTGATGGGTTCCCTAGGGTGCCTCTTCACCTCTT